ATATAATATAATATAAACGTAATGCAATATATGATATAATATAGCTTAATATAATCAGGAGAGTAAGATAATTGGCCACTCTGGTCGTCCTGCAAGCCCGTCCATTTAAAATGCCACCAGGACTGGTGGGTGTGACGTTGCATCCCATGTCCAACACTTGTCCACATCTGTGTTCCACCAATAGCTACAGAGGAGAGCGGCTTTCAATAACTTGACTCAGATGTGAAAGTGAGTGTACTTTAGAAAGTGAGCGCAGTCTGACGCAGTTTCTCACGCGCAGGTAATGTTGGAGCCTTAAATTAACTATACTGACCCTCTGAAAGTAAATTAAATGGCTAAAAAATTCTTTAACAAGTCTGCACAAGAAAAAAACAATCAATTACAAAGGTGCTGCTTTGTTTAGAAGACTAATCCAATCCAGTATGACAAGCAAGCAGAATTGAGCATCTTTAGCAAAACGGGCGTCAGATAGGTGAAGCTTCATGCCCAACGCCGGGAGAAAAGTAACGACTATAATGTATAATAATGTATAATAATATATACATATATAATATATGCAATTTTTGTACTGCATATTTTATACATATAATTTTTTTGAATTTTCCCAAGCACCCCACTAACTGTGCTCGAATTAGTAATCCAGATATTCAAACAGATGCCACTTATTTCTGTTGCAGTTTCGCCATTTTAAAACATTCCATTACCCACAAGTGGCTTGAAATGTTTGGTCGCCTTCTGCTGATTTTTTACCGATTGTTGCGGACATAAACCCATTGGCACGTATCCCATATGGATTCACGGATTAACGGATTGATACACAGGATCGAGGGTGTTGCCCACGTTTCCCTGATCCCTTTTGTTCTTGTCGGTCAGTGGCTGACGTTCACCTGAAAGGCACAAGTGAAAAAGGGTGTAGCACTGCTCTTTGTGTTCTCAGCGCGTTGCAGTATGCTTGCTGGCGCGAGGATTCGCATAAATAAATGTCTAATAGTGCTTTAAATTGGGTTCTAGGAGGATCATGAACATTCCTGAGAAGTCTGGACGGCCGAAGTCTCAAAACCACGTTTGATGTTCGGCATTTCTGGCCCAATAGCAGATGAAATCAAAGGTCATCACACAGTTGTCGCTATGTCCCAGTGGAGCGTTAATTGTTACCTGATCAACGAAGTGTCTTTCGTTGGTGATGACCGAATCCAAGAGGGATGGTAGTTGGCCTGCGCGGTATCTGGTGGGTGCCATGACATGTTGGATCCAAGCGCTCTGTTGAACGATTTCAAACATCGCCGTCGCAAGATTCGACGCGCTTCAGCTCAATCCAGGAGGCTTATGGGGCGTTGAAGTCACCTACCAGCAGATGTGAGAAGTGGTAGTTGGAGGAGAGTTGCTCAAGGGTTTGTGTGAGGAATTGGTCATTTTCAGGGGGACTCGAGTGGCTATCGTAGACCACGCCGAGAAGGAGAGAATCGGACCCGCGTAGCGGGATTTGTACATTGGTGTCAGAGAGGACAATCGGGATTGGTAGGGCCGCATGTAAGTACAGAGCAACCCCACCTGCCCGCCCTCGTTTTGCGTCGGCTCGAAAAATAGAGTAACCGTCTATCGAGATTTCCGCGTCAGAGACATCTGGTGTGAGCCAGGTCTCTGTGAGTGCGATTATGGATGGTTGTTCAAGGCAAGCTGATTGTTTAACATAGCCGAGTTTGTTGAAAAGGCTGAGGCAGTTTGTGCGAGGTTTATTTCGTTCCGTGGGAGCCCGGTTTGCTCGGGCCTTTTGGCTTTGGGGGACGAAGTCTTTTTCCCCGTGGGTGAAACTTTCGACCGTTGCTGTTTGTAGCTCTTTCAGCACCCCCATTTTGGCGACCAGATTCGCTGTTGATCGAAGAGTTGCGGCAAGCTTTCGCATTACTGGATTCTTGTGTGGTTTGGCGTGGTTTGGCCGGGAACGTGTCTATTTGAGGCCCTGAGCGCTGAGTGGCGTCACTTGCAAGTAATGATTTTGGTGGCGCTCCCAAGAGGCTCGTTTTCGCGGAGGACCGCACCTTGAAGCCAGCTAGCAATTTTCTAATCTGGCGAAATTTATGTGGCTTGTTTGGCTGCAGTCGCTCTTCTTCCGTGTTTGTGTGGACACCCGATCTGCCGGCGATCAGCGTGGGCAACTGGATGTAGGAGGGATTTTCCGGATGGCTGTAGTCATGTTTACAGCTTAGGTTGTCGGGTTCCTGGGCGGCGGTTGTGTCCACAAGCAGCGAGGCCACTTTTGACGGAGTGGAGCTGGAGATTGGCTTCGCTCCTTGTCCCCGCACCTGTGACTCATTCCAGTTCAGAGGCTGTGACTTTATTGAGGATTTCACGGCTGCAGCTGTGTCCTCTGACACGGAGATAAGCGTTGATAGCTCCACGTAGTTTAGGGGCTGCTAGCATGTGGGGTTTGCATCCTCCGGGGCGTCCCTGCCTTTGGTGGGCGAGAGGCCTGTTGTGGTCGAGTAAAAACTGCTGTCCGGAGACGCAGCTGGTTTCGTCGGCCTTCTTTCGGAAGCACAGGGGAATATGACCACAATCGGCTTGGTCATGAGTTTGGGGTGGGCTGAATTGGTACCCGGCGGAAGCCTGTTTCGTGCTTCCACCCCTGACCTGCTATGACCATGCTTTCGCGCGCCTAGAGGACGATACTCAGATAGGCGCCAGATCATTGGGTTGGTCTTTTGAATGATGCCAGCTCGCTCCAAGAACTCCTGCACGTCAGATGGGGAAGAAGTAGTGTCCAGAAGTCCAAGAGTTCGCTTACTTCGCTTTTGGCGTAGCCATTCTGCGTGGAGAGATTTATCAGGCTTGGTGAGGACATTCCTAAGGATCGACCGTGCCAGCTTCGCCGACGTGTTTTTTTTTCCGGAGAATGACCCCCAGATTATCAGTTTGTTTTCCCTTAGGCGCCTGTCCACTAGAGACGCTGTGGCGGTTTTTATAACCGCATCAGAAAGTTGTATGACTTTCTTCGCAGCCATGGGGCCATGTATGGCTATCGCGAGGTATTGGTTCTGCGAATAATGCTCCTTGTCAACTTTAGTCCAGGTCGCTGCATTCTTAGCACCTGAGTCTTCCAGTTCCTTTGAAAGACGATCTAACTTCGCGTCAAGTATCCCGATTAAGGCGGAACACTGACAGTGGTCTTTCTGAATCTGCACTGGGGATTGGGTACCGTTTTGGGGGGCTCTCCTCTTGGCCGCGGTATGCGTTGCACCCTTAACATAGAGGCAGCTGGCGCAGACAAACGGGTCAGGAGAGTTAGCTAGTCTGTTTGTCTGGTTGTCCTGTAAACCCGTACATTTAAAGTGCCACCAGGCTTGCATGTTTGGCATTGCATACCGCGTTTGACTCTCGACGGGCAGCCATTTCGTCCAAATCTGCTGTGGTCCATCAATGGCCGGAGCGGACAATCAGTGTAAATTGATGTCACGTTTAGGATTAGATGTAAAGTAGGAGGTGTGCGCAAAATATCAAGAGTTATCTCTCAAATGTTTTTTGAGAGTAAAAAATTCAACAGTTACTCGTGTGTACCCTGTGAACAGACTGAAGAACGAAAAAATTCTTTCTCGAATTTACACGAGGGAAAAACGAAACCGATTTCGAACGAGGAATGTTTTCACGATTATTTGTGTGTAATGGAGAGCGGGCGCTCTATTTTCCTTCTCTGTAAAGGTACTCAGGCTCTCTAGATCTTAAGACCTCGATTTCCACTACTCGGCTTGTTTGAATTAATCAAAAAAGGCGTACCTTTTTAGCAACTCATCTAAGCCGAATCTGGTTTTGGTCGGCTCCACCCGGTAATGCCGATAAAAAGAGGGCACGTTGCTCCGCAGAACACTTTCATTGACACCCTCATCCAAAAGTTTGACAGCCAACGTGAGTCGCACCACTTTCTCTGTCTGCTTTTTTGCGCACAGCGTATGCAAGGTTATCCGAAGTTTTGCTAATACCGTTGGCGACAACGCGATTAGCGAAAGGCGTGTTAAATCATCCAGCGGGGGTTCCGAATTTCTAAGGTTTATCTCACCTGACTCCATGATGCAAGCCGTCAAATATTACCCACCCTGGTAGTGCGTGCACTAACTTCTGTGATGGTAAAGCTGGGTCTTGTGTAGAGAACGTTCACCATTACCATTGCGCTCTGGGTCTAAAATAATTTTGTCAACAAAATTCCGGCTGAGGCCTATACCAAAAACTCACAAAAATTCGTTTCTTCGCTTACAAACTGCACCCGTGCAATAAATACTCTATTTTCGAACGTCTAGTTGTACGTCGTCGCTGTGTGGCGCTTTAGGTATCACTGATTTGTGCCAGCAAGAACACTCACAGCGCATGCATGTAGAAACCGTGTGAGCCTCCGGGGATTATATTTTAAAAACGTGACACCTTAGGCAAAGCTGGAGTGCAACTGGATCAAACACTTAAACACGCTGTTGCAGTTCACATAAACCAAAGTTGGGTTACATTTGTTATTAAAATCCTACGGAGCCTTCTATGAACTCCGCATAGGTCACGAAAATGAAAAATCCAAAATTTATAGTGGTACTACTAATGGTAGTACTACTACTGTAACGCTGATGCTGTGAGGCACCTTTTAGCAAGAAAGAACCACTCCCTTAGCCACCACGAAAAGTTCAGATATGGTCCCATCACTACGTGGTGATATTCCGAAATTCTCCCCTCGCACGCACTGCGGTACCCTAATTTTACAATGAAATCTGCCATCAGGACCATACCTGAACTTTTCGTGGTGGCTAAGGCAGTAGTTCTTTCTTGCCAAAAGATGCCTCACAGCATCTGCGTTACAGTCGTTTCGTGCATAGGCAGACGCGGTTAGTGTTTTTAATAGTGCTGGTCCTTATAGAAGTAGACAGACACAAGGGCTACCACTTACATGTATTCATTCAAGCAAGGGAACATCAGCATTGAAGCTGAGAGTTATACCAACGCCGGTACAACCTGGCGCGGCAGCGGAACTGTCATTCGAATTTCGCGGGCGACGGTGTACGGACAGCGCTGCAAGCTCTGTTGCAATGATTAGATCCTTTAGCCTGCTTTCACAAACGCAGCAAATATCTATGGGTAGGGTACCGCGGGTGCGCATGGAAACATCTTGTTGGCCAGCTAACTTGAGAGTCTACCTGTAAGGAGGGAATAGCATCTGATGAATAAAAACGGAATGCTAAATGTGAGCATTGACGTAGATGTAGTCGATCCTATGAGTGTCTGGATGGCATGTCTATCGCTGGGCTTTAAGGAAGAGTGATCAGCAAGTGGAGAGTTAGAGCTAAAGGAGAACAATGAAAAATGATGCGAGGAACCACGAAGCACAGGGTCGCTTCTGACATGGAGGCAATAGCTAATAAGTTTATCTTCTGATTCCCATCCGTAAGCCCTTCTAGTTCAACAGCCTCGTAATTGCTTCCATACCGACTGCCTAGAGGTGTTCACTCGGTTCGAATTGAAAAGAGCGTCCTGGAAAAGGCTTAAAACTGGACACCTGGGCTTTCCTTAGCTGGACTGACACTTTGTGGCACAAACTTAGTGCTATCTTACTCGTTTTAGCTTCGCTGCGTTTTGTCACCATCTTGAATTACCTTTGTCAGGATTTCTCAGGGTTGTTACCACGTGACCCTTCTGGATCGTGTGCATTCTCTGTCTT